CAAGAATCCTTCTGCAAAGCAAAGACTCCTCTTGCAAGAGGTATTGTCGTTTACCTACTTCCCAAGATGGAGGGTGGGGACTCTTTTCCTTCAAAAAAAAATTATTTTTGAGTAGTTTTAGATTCATAGAAAATTGCACTAAAACGGCCAGGATGGCACAGGGAGTCCCCACAGACCCCCCGCTCAATTCCCTCTGTCGTCACCATCCCGCATTAGCAGGGCGCATTTGTCCGTTACTGCACCAGTATTGATACAGGATTATTCACTAAAGCCCATACTTTATTCAGCTTTCCTGAGTTTTTCGCTAATGTCCTCTTTTCTGTTCCACGGCCCCATCCAAGACAGCGCAGTGCATTTGGGTGTCCCGCCTCCTCCCGCCCCCCTCGGCTGTGACAGTTTGTCAGACGTCTCTTGTTGTCGATGACCTTGAAGGTTTTGAGGAGCAGCGCCCAGGCGCTTTGTAGAACGCCCCCCGGTTGGGGTCTGTCTGATATTTTTCCCTCCTGAGCAGCCTGGATTTGTGCGACGTGGGGAGGAAGCCCACAGGGGTGAGCTGCCATTCTCGTCGCGTCCTCGCAAGGGCGCACCGGCCACCGACGTGACGTGTCGCCATTCGTCTCAAACCTGACCACCTGGCCCGGGCGGCGTTTGCGGGTTTCTCCGCTCTTTCTTTCTGGGTGTGGGATTTTTAGAAGTTGCATCCATCTGTCCTCTGCGCGGATCCGTGTTTATTTTGGGTATTTACTTTCCCTGTTTGGAAATTGTCTTTCTGTCTGCGTGTCACTCAGGCGTACATCAGATTGGGGAAATCGTTGCGTAAAACCGAAGGACTTACCAACCCTCGCCCCTCCTCTGGCGACAATGACGCCTTTCACTTTGGGTCCACGCTGTCTCCTGGACAGATTCTCTAGACCTGTGCTGTCCGACACGTCAGCCGCTGGCCACTCGGGCTGTTTACATCTGCATTAGCCCAAATTAAATGCAATTTAAAATTCGGTTCCTCAGTGGCACTAACTGCATTTTAAGGGCTCAGTAGCCACCGTGTCGGACGGTGCAGATTAGAGAACGTTTCCACCGTCACCTTTTCACTGTGGGGCCCTGCCTCCCTCATCCCGTCCTTCCCTGTCCCCCCCTCCCCTGCTGCTCTGGGACAACCACCCTTGTCGCCCATCGTTCTCCGTGAGCCTGCGGGCGTAGCGCACAGCCACAGACTGGTATACTGGCCACTTTTGGTTATTGTTCTTTGTTAAAAAAAAAAAGGCATTACACACTGTACATATTCCTTTTCTTTTCCTCATTTATAATGCATCGTGAACATCTCTTTGAGTCCACAGATTTAGATCTGATTCATTCTTTGTGATGTATGCATAAAATTCCATGGTGGGGGCGTATTATGACTTATTTTG